TCAAGAAGTATTAGCTCCTCTTACATTCCCAACCATAAAAGGGGTCAAATTTTGCAGCAGGATGGTGCTCCATTGCATACTTCTATCTCTACATCAGAGTTTCTCAAGGTGAAGAAGATGAAGGTGCTCCAGGACTGGCCAGCCCAGTCACCAGACATGAACATCATTGAGCATGTCTGGGGTAGAATGAAAGAGGAAGCATGGAAGGCAAAACCAAAGACTCTTGATGAACTCTGGGAGGTTCATTGTCGAACCGCATGGATGCAGTCCTTCAAGCTCATGGAGTCATACAAGATATTAAATCTGGGTCTCACAGCACCACTACTTAATTCACTGACGTTATGCAACATATTTTTGTATTTGAAGTAAATTATTTGTTCAATTTTCTGTAGGCGACAAAACTTTTGTCTTGCCAAAATCTGACCTTTCTGTGTTCATTAAATGATCAATCTTTCTTCAGTGAAGCAAATTTATTTTAGTATATTGAGCATAATTTGGGAGGGTTTTAGCTTTCATATGAGACATTTCTAAAACCAATCGATTAATTTAAAGTCAGGTTATAAGCTTTTGTTTCTACAAAATGGATAAGCGATAAGACTTTTGTCAGGGACTGTAGCTCTCCACCTCATTCAAAGTAGCTCGCCAAGGAATTTGTGAACTCTGTGTATTATTGTTATTCTATGGTAAAATTTGATCAGTTACCATTCTAAATGTGTAATTTTGATGCCCAACTGTGCATTAATAAATAGATAATTCTTTGTTTTATAGCCACCGAACTCTTCCCATTTAAGGCTCGCCGTGGCTCTTAGTTATACTGCTAAAATGAGTAGCTCTCTGGCATTTTCATTTTGTAAAAGTAGCTCACTGAAGGAAAAAGGTTGGAGACCCTTGCCGTACATGCTATTATCTACCTATTTAATTCATTATTAAAACACCTTCCCTACTACAAGAGACCAAGATACTAGGGATGGAAAGATATCCAAATCTCTCGGTACGATATTATCATGATATGCCTCTCACAGTTTGATATTTATTGCGATATTTTGGAAAGGCTGATATAATTATAGATAAGACACTTTTTTGCTTTTAAAATACCCTGACAGGAATTTATTGTGAATTATTTCTCAAGAATTCAAGTAAAAAAAAACATATAAATTAATGTTGTCTGCGCTGAAATGAATCATGGGATATGTAGTTCCCGTTGTTTATCAGCTATTGCTATTATAAAACAATGCATTTAAGGAAAAGCTTTTGTAATTTGTTATATTGTGGCCCAAGGTTTATTGTGAGACTTTTGTCGATACGATATCACGATATTTTGGTTATTGTTACATCTAGACGTGATACAAAATGTTTACATTCAACTGTCTCAGGATTTTACGTGTAAATCATCAAGATATTAAATAATAGTTTAGGAGCCATCAGTAGAGCGGGATTTTAGTTCATTGTATTTTTGTAAAAGCTCTAGTTTTAGTGTCAAGTGTTTAGAGTCCTACATGCCTCACTGAAACCAGTCCACTTTCATTTTCTTTCCTTTCCCTTCAGGAGTGGTTTTCCTCTGTTGTTGTGGTCATGCCTTTCCTGCTCTATGGTTACAATCTATGATCTGTGGATTATTATGTTCTCATTTGGAATATTCATCTAGAAAGACTTATAAATCAAATACAAACAATGACTCCACTGACAACATAAACATAATTGGTAAAGCTCCAGGTTGGCGATGCGATTCCAGCTCCCGCAGATGAATACCGTCATTGTGTCCTTGGGCAAAACAGACAACACACAACACAACCCCCCCTCGCTCCCCTGTGTCTGCGTACACTGGTGTATGAATGTGTATGTGTGTGTGTGTGTGTGTAAAAACCTCGGAGAAATTCCAAATTGCAATCTCCTAATAACGTCTGCACTGAATGAATAAACTGAACACAGGACCACACATAAAGCACTTTCATTAGCATTTAGACAATAAAGCATTTCCCGTTGCTCCTTTCAGCAGCTTTTGTCTGTGTGTTGGCCAAATGTGCTCATTGTCTCCAGGAATGTGCTGTCTGTGTGTGAAATAACAGTGTGTCAGCATCAGGCAGCTGTCCCTCTCTATTTACTTTGTATTCACTCTGAATTCAGTCTGTGTCCAGTTTCTGTCCAGTGTGTGTCCAGTCTGTGTTCAGTCTGTATTTAGTTTGTGTCCAGTCTGTGTTAAGTCTGTGTCTAGTCTGTATTCAGTCTGTGTTTAGTTTGTATCTACTTTGTATTCAGTTTGTATTTAGTTTATGTTCAGTCTGTGTTCAGTCTGTATCCAGTCTATATTCAGTTTGTGTTTAGTCTGTATTCAGGCTGTATTCAGCCTGTGTTTACTTTGTATTCAGTTTGTGTTCAGTCTGAGTTCGCTTATTCAGCCTGTGTTCAGTCTGTGTTTACAGTAGTTTGTATTCAGTCTGTATTTAGTTTGTGTTCAGTTTGTCTTCATTCTATATCTACTTTGTGTTCAGTCTGTGTTCAATTTGTGTTCAGTCTGTATCTACTTTGTATTCAGTCTTTGTTCAGTCTGTGTTTACAATAGTTTGTATTCAGTTTGTGTTCAGTCTGTTTAGTTTGTGTTCAGTCTGTGTTCAGTTTGTGTTCAGTGTATATCTACTTTGTATTTAGTTTGTTTTCAGTCTGCGTTCAGTCTGTTTGGGAATTTGCTGATCCAAGTTTTCTTCTTGTCCAGGATTTTCTTGAAGTGGGTCAAACAGTGCAGGAACCAAGAGACCCTCATTTCTGTTCAATGCACCAGGGGATTCAGTCCTTGCGCCCTCTGCTGTCTTTTTCTACACACAGATCCTATGCCACCCTCGGCTCATGCTGACTATTTCTAAATATTAATTGGGACTTTTTTTTTTTGAAGATTGTTTTTTATTTATTTTACGATTTATTTTTGGTTTTATACATTTTTTAATAACATATCTATACCTTGCGTAACTTTTTAGGTCTTCCCCCTGCTTGTTTCCATAGTGATGTCACTGCTTTACCTGGAATGTTGCACAATATGGTTTTGAACTCATCAATCACATCTCCATGACAACTGATCCAACACGTTTTTTTTTATCTGATACTTGTCTTGCTGTTGTGATATTTGCTGATACCAATATTAATCTTTTCAAATCTACAGAACACCGACATTTACAAATGAATAACAAAATATACTAGTTTTGTCCAGGATATAAATTAATATTTTTACTTATGAGACTTGGGAAGAAAAAATATCGGTGCCATGTGTCATTAAAATTTCCAGTATCTAACCGTTCTACCGCCCCTGCCTTTTAATATGACGTAAAAAAACCTGAGATGAGCAGGTTCCCCTCAGTCAGCCCACGGGTAAAACTCAAACAGCTGATCTGTGTTTACAGTGAGTCAGAGCTGCAGTTTCCCATTGTTGGCTTTTGTTGGAAATCCCAGTCTCCTGTCACTGCTCCTGAGTCAGTCCGACCGCTCTTATCTCCCATTTTACTGTCAGACCCTGAAGGCAGCACCATAAACACCCATTTAGTCAATGAGCAACCAAGTTCATGGGAAAATGTTTTATGGTTTAGTTTCAGTAGTTCAGTCATAGGAGTGATGCCTGTGAAAATAGTGATACGAAACTTCACCTTTTCTAGCTAATTATTTTCAGATGTTACTAAGGGTCAGTTTGGAGGAAAAGTGCAGATGTTTAGACCCGGTTTATGGTTAACATCTCTGTATATACTGGTCTTATTGACATAAAGTGCTGGTTTTCATAACCGCTCTTTTTACCTTTAGTTCAGTAGAGATTGACAATTCCAAGGCTGAAATGATTCAAATGATTCTAGTGAAGGTGTGTAGAGTTTAAAAACACAGTGGAGCACTTCCTGTATTACCACATGACATCACAAGGTGGAAAATGAGTTCAGAGTGTTTTCTCTTTGAGAGAAGAACTCAGCTGAAATAAAACACAACTCCAGATGTGTTTGTGATGAGGAAGCAACATTAGAACATAGATCAGAAAGTAGCGTATATGGGCCCTTTAATCCTGCACCTCTGGGTACATTTTTGTACATCTCAAATTTTCTTTTTTGCATAACTTTGGCTATATTGCACCAAAAAGCACCAAAATTGGCCAGTTTGTGTATTTTGTGGTGTATTTTTAATTTTTGTGTTTTTTTTTCCAAGATTACATTAATTGAACAGTCTATAATCAAAATACTCACACCTGTGGTTCTTAGGTACATTTTTGTCCCATTGACTTCCGTTCAAAATGGCTTTTTTTTTACTGGCATATCTTTGCCAGTATATTTTTACTATTTGATTTTTTTTTTTTTGTTTTGTTTAAAACCCATCAAATGATTTAGTTTAGTGTCTTTTTGAAATGTTTTGATGCTTTTCTTTTTACTGTTTATCTTCCATTACAAGGTCATATCAATAGAAAGACATTTGCACATATTAGTCCAGACTGAAGTCCAGAGATGTAGATATTTGAGGTCAAAATGATCTGGGTGTGTTCTAGAGGAGTCCCCAGCCTCTGATAACCCCAACGCAAACAAATTAAAATTACCTGAAAGATATAGAAAAATATCTCTTTTTTTTTTTTCTTTAAATTTTTTTCATCCACATAATTTGATACTTGTGCTGTCAGAAATTGAATTTAAGGAGTTAAAATGTCAAAATATGATTATATTATTTGGTATGTATGATTTGGGAAGAAGTAAACAAAGACATTGAGATAAAAAAGTTGGACATAAATCTGTACTGCATAAAAATATTGTGGTATTCTTTTCAGGTGTACATTTTTGTCACGAAGGATTTTAAATGGATGCATGAGGGTTAAAGTTCCTAGTTTGTTAACTTCTTCTTCCCACTCCTTTTTGGACATGTAAACGTCTAGCTCTGTGGACTTTTAGATTTTCACTACTCTTGTTGCAATGCTATTATTTGTGACATGACTTCTATTTTATCTGCATGTTTAGAATTTAAAAAATCTGATTGTCGTTTTGTGTTTCCAGGCTGCAGTGGGGGAGGTCTCTCGGCCCCAGGACCCCGACATGAGACGACTGGGCTCCAGCTCTGAGGACCGCCTCTCTGCTGCCCTCTCCTGTGTGAAGACTGGTACTGACGCAGGTAAGGGGAGGGGGCTTTTGTGTAGTGGGAAACAATATGCTCCGGAGGGACGTCTGCTGCTATTGGAAGTGAGGAAGTTTAGGAACAGGGATTAAAGCTGCACTGTGTAACTTTTCCACAGTGTGACATTACGGTTATTTATCTTTATGACGACGGCAGGTGACGCCACAGGTCCACGTTACAGGTCAGATCTGTGGAAAAATGCTTTCTTTGATTTTAGGTATATTTTAGGTATACAAGATGGATACGTTTAATGCCATACCGGAACATTCCAGACAAAACCATAACATCTCGATGGCGACAAGCAGGTCACTGACCCTCTGCCAGAAAAGTTCCACAGTGCACTTTTATGTTTAGAATTCTTGTCTGGGAAACGTTAGTAATCACTTCTGTCCCTGAGTGAGCTTATATCTTACAGGTTGAATTTCTGTTTTCACTTACCACCTATCCCCGCCCACTGTTCTGTTCCAAACTTTCCAGGTCATATGTGTGGGGTAAAAAAAATGTAAACAAACAAAAAAAAAAAAACATACATGAAAATACTTGCTACAGTGTAATGCTACTATCAAGAGGTGATCTGAACTGTCAGTTGACCTGTTACTGATACTGTAGGTAAAAAAAAAAAAAAGTCAAATAATGATCTGTATATTTGATAATTTCAAACTAAAAAGCCAAAATCATGATTTCTTCAAATGGGGTATTACACTTCTGTGGGGTAGTCATTGTTAAAGACTATTAAACTTTTCAGAACTTTTAACCATGTTTTTGTTTCCCTCTGTACATTTTCCAGTTTTATTTTCTTAATCGGTGATTCAGCAGCGTTGCGTCGTCATTTTGGTACAAATGCAAAAATAAATTGCTGCTTGAAGCGTGATCTGCAGCTCTCTTTACTCTTCAAGCTAAGTCACTCCCTCTTTGGAGCGCAAACACAACACAACTCTGTGACTATGCAATCTGAAAATGAAACTACTACACATCGCATCAGGTTTTGGAAGTTGTAGTGAAATATTTTGTCTTCTGCTCACGTATATTTGAGAATTGTCGTGTAGGAGCACGGATTACATAGATTTGTGGGTGGAGCCTTGTACAGGATCGTACTGCTACCTGTAAAAAGGGTACGAAGAGGGCCCGGAGAGATCACTAGATTACTCAAACATGTTTGGATGACATCTATAACCTGTTAAAGTATTTTATCGATGAGAAATCAACATTACGACATTGTAGAAAACTCCCAAAAGTCGATTTTGCGTAATAGGCTCTATTCCGGGTTTGTGACATAAGCATAAAGACATTTGGGAACGAGCGGATGACGACTTCGTTTGGACTCTGTTGGCGATGGGGTGGGGTTGTTTTCTTCATCTAGATGTCATTGTGTTCTTTCTTTTTTATAAATTGTGTTTGTTTATTATAATTTGTCTAACTTTAAAAAAAAAAAAAAAGGAAAGCTTCGGCAGGTTGTGAAGATGTTGCTGGTGAATCCACGGTTTTATCACCATTATTATTATTTTAGCAGATCCATGTTTATCACATTCCCACTGTCAGTAACTACACCGGAAGTCATCATCCGCGTGTTTCCAAATGTCTTCTTCTAAGTGTGAATAGAGCCTGTACCCCCTGTTGAACGTGTGTCCTCTGTGTCCTCCAGGATGCGAGGTGAGCCCGCTCTCCACCTCCTCGTGCGGGTCGGACCCTGAAGACTCCGTGACCAGCATTAGCAGCATGTCCAGCTTGTCCAGCAAAGACGGCAGCCCCTTCTCCCCCCTCGGCCCCCCGCACCCACACACCCTGCCCCCCTTCTCCCCCCTGAGCCCCCCCACCCTCCAGAACCTCCCGCCCTTCTCCCACGGGCGCTCCATCTCCATCTCCGTGGTGCCCTGCTCGGATCTGGCCCCCAGACCCTCCGTGTCGTCGACAGGAGAAGAGGTGGGTGAGCTTTACGGTGCTCTTGGAAATGGTTTGGGAGAATTGTTTAGTAGGTTGAATTCATGACATTGACCTCATCTATAGCTGGTCGAAACTAGAGATGCACTCATTCAGCTTTTCAGTTTCGATACGAGTTTCGATTCTACAGGTGCAGAGACTGAGAACAGCATTTATTGTCTTTATACAAAAATAACATAAGACAAGACTGATCTAAATGTGTTTGTAAATGTGTCTGTTATTTATCTCTGAAGTAACTACAGAACAACTTTGTATAAATAAAAGTTCAAACATTCTGAGACTTTCTGGGCCAACTATTAACACCAAATAGTCTTATATGCCCAACCAGGATATTGGCTGAACCGATATTTGGAAATCGATATCCGATCCAATATTTCAGTATCTGCGCTGATATCAGATGCCAGTACTGGATCTGTGCATCTGTAGTCAAAACTTTTGAAATGACGCACATTGAAATCCCAAATTTCTTAAGCAAAAAAATTGTCTAATGTTTTTTTTTTTTAATGTTTTATTGTGCTGAAAATGTATTGTCTGAGTGGGCTTGCATCCACAAACCTGGACCATGGATAATGCTCTGAAGTATGGTTTTAGTGTTCTATTTCCAGAAAGTTACATAGTGTGGCTTTAATTAAACGCCGAAGAGGGTTTTAAACAGTTTGCAGTGGTCCAAAGTTATTCCTCACTTACCTTAGTACTTTTTACAGTTCTTAAAGACCAGTGCAGAGTTTTGCCATAATGTTAACAACAGCTAGCATGCTAACCACACACTTGCTGATACAGTACATCTGTACTGGGGCAAGATATATTTTTTCCTCAAATACACAGGAATAATTCTAATATTTAAATGAACATTCAAACTTTGGCCTGATGTTATTGCTTTGTCTGGAATGTTTCACAGTGGCTTTAAACCTTTCTATCCTCATGGAGACCAAACCAGACCAAGTTATAGGTCAGATCTCTGGAGAGGCAAACCCTCTCACAGTCAGAGTGTCTGTTTTTATAGGTATTTCTGAGCTATAAAACCATCTGTAATTGAATAAACGTAAGGTAAAGCTGTTTAATGTCACACTGTGGACCATTCCAGGTAGAGAAATGATATGTTCATGGAAACAAGCAGGTGACGAACCCCTAACCTAAAAGTTACACCTTTAAATCACGAGCTAATTGTAATCTTAACAAAAACGCAACGTCACATTTCTGTCACATCTCTGTGTCCTTCAGCTTGTGGACGCCTTCAGCCCAGAGTCGGAGCACCCGCCTCCTCCCGTCTCCCAGACACATAAGGGCAAAGTGGGTAAAGTCTCACACACGCCCCCACCCTCCAGAAAACTGCTCCAGCTCCTCCCAAACCTCCAGAATCTCTCCCGGAGCAAGAGCCATGAGTCCCAGCTCGCCAACCGCATTGAGGAGCCCCCCACCAGCAAGTGAGACACTGAACTTTTACAAATGTACTCACTGACCAGTTACACTAAGATTTAGACAAACTTTATTGATCCACAAGGGAAAGATAATATAATAACATAGAGTAAAAACAGAAATGGTAATAATAAATTCAAACTAAGTAGCAAAAAGAAGCAAGAGACTGGTGTCAAATAACACATAATTATATAAATATATATGTATATGTAAAATATATCAATGCAAATACACTTGGAATACACATCAGATCTCAATGTGAAATAAAAAAAAGTTGGATATCTATACAGATATGGACAGGGCACTGTCTTAGGAACAAAAGGACAGAAATATGCAAATGTTCAGCCACAGATGGCTTCATTTTATAGACATCCTGAAAATCAAAGTGATATAATGATGTGGCAGGCTGATTCATTTTGACAAAATGTAATTTCTGCAACTCAGAATGCTTCTCAGTATCTTGTGTGGCCTCCATGTGCTTGTCTGCATGTTTAACAAAGTCATGGCCGCTCCTAATGAGATGACTGATGGTGTCCTGTGGGATGTTCTCCCAGATCTGTGTAAGGGCATCATGAGCTCCTGTAGAGTCTGAGGAGCAACCCAGAGGAGTCTGATGGACCCAAACATAATGTCCCAGAGGTGTTCCATTGGGTTTAAGACGTGATCGTGCGGGACATTCAACTGTATCAATCCCTTCATCCTCCAGGTTCTGACCACAAATTCTTGCCACATGAGTCTGGGCACTGGAGGCATCAGGAGGAACCTAGGATCTACTGCACCAGTGTAGGCTCTGACAGTGGGTTCAAGGATTTTATTTCAATACCTAATGGCATCAGACTGCTGTTTTTCTAGCTGGTACCGGTCTGTGTGTCCCTCTGTGGATCTGTCTCCCCAGAACATCACTGAGCCAATACCAAACCACTCATGTGAACCATGTTGCAGGCAGCAGAGCGTTCTCCTCGTCTTCTCCAGACTCTTTCATGTCTATCACAGGTGCTCAGGGTGAACCTGCTCTCATCTCTGAAAAGCTCAGGGCACCAGTGGTGGTCTTGTCAATTCTGATGTTGTTGGCAAATATGAATGGAGCAATTATTAAAGTAGAAAGCAGAATGTGCCTCTCATGAAAATCAAGATTGGTCAATTAAAAAAAAACAGTGGGGGGAGTGGGGTCACCTTGGCCTGGTAGCATATATAAATATATTCTATTTGTATTTCTCCAATGTCCAGAGTTTGTAAGAAGAACAAACCTGTGGCAGCTCTTCAGCTGAATGGATTTGGGATGAACTCAGACGACCTCCGCGGCCCCCTCTCCGCTCGCACCCCTGGACCATACTACCACACAGACAGTGAGTTAGACCTGGTCTAGACCTGATTTAGAACTGGTTTAGACCTGATCTAGACCTGATTTAGAACTCATTTAGACCTGATTTAGACCTGGTTTATACAGGGGGTTAAGCCTGAGCTAGTCCTGGGTTAGATTTAGGAACTGACCTGGTTTAAGACTATTTATTTACCTTCATCTTCTTTGTCTTCATTTACACTTGGGATTTGAATTGGTTTAGACCTAGTTTAGCCCTGGTTAGAACTGGTTTAGTGCTGATCCAGACTTTGGGCATTATGAACTGGTTTTAATACTTGAACTTGTTTAAATCCGTGATATTTTAACAGCATTTAAGGTGTTAGAATAAAATAGAGTCGATCTAGACCTGTTTTAGTCATTACTTAGTACAGTACCTTGTTTAGAATGTTTAGTCCTGGGTTTAGGCCTTGGTCCTGGTCTAGGCTTGGTTTAGACTTGTCTTACATTTGGATCAAGGCTCATGTAGACCTGGTTTAGAGCTGGTTTAGACCTGGGATTAGAGAAGGTTTATATTCAGATATCTTGGCTGTATCAATAGGAGGGAGACTGAGTTTAGACCTGGTTTAGACCTGTTTTAATCCTGGTTTAGTCCCAGTTTTAACCCACTTTACTTGATATTTTTACAGATTCATCCAAGCACAAAGGATCTCCACAGACTTTGAGGAGGGACTTAGGTCTGCCCGTCACCCATAGGTAAGAAATAAATTAGAGAATATTCGGTACAGAGAAAGGAGGCTAGACTGATGATTTAAATCTTATGTAATAATGTATTTATCTAAAAACACGAGTTGTTTTGCACACGTTTTGGCCTGATCCTGGCTGGCATTCCAGAGTGAATTCCTGGTTAATCTGGTCTTTTGTTTGGACAGTGTCGAGCTCATCCTTCTCTCCGGGAATGGCATGTGAACAGTCTGGAATCCCGAGAATCTAAACCACTGTGTGTACATCTATTTAAATGTGGCTGAATGGGTTTTGGGATGTTTAAAATGCCATATGGAGGGCAGGAGGTCAACGCTCTCCACAAATGTTACGTCTGGTTTACTATTGGTGTCTGTGTGAGAAATCCCTCAGTGGTCCACATAGAATCCATGGCAAAAGGAGAAATTCCATTTGTCGACTGGACTAAAGTTTATTTGGTCGAATACGTTTCGCAGTTCATCCAAGCTGCTTCTTGTGAAACATAAACCAAATAAATTTTTAATTTCTCCTTTGGAATCTCCTTTTTCATGTTTGTAATTTGACCTGGTTTAGACCTGGTTTAGACCTGGGTTAGACATGGTTTAGACCTGGATTAGAGCTGGTTTAGACCTGGTTTAGACATGGTTTAGAGCTGATTTAGACCTGATTTAGATATGGTTTAGAGCTGGTTTAGACCTGGTTTAGACATGGTTTAGAGCTGATTTAGACCTGATTTAGATATGGTTTAGAGCTGGTTTAGACCTGGTTTAGACCTGGTTTAAAGCTGATTTAGACCTGGTTTAGAGCTGATTTAGAGCTGGTTTAGAGCTGGTTTAGACTTGGTTTAGACCTGGTTTAGACCTGGTTTAGACCTGGTTTAGTCCTGGTTTAGAGCTAGTTTATTCCAGGTATTAAGCCTGAGCTGGTCCTGACTCAGATCTATGAATAGACCTGGTTTAAGAGGTGAATTAGTCTTGATTTATACATGGTGTTGTAAATAAAATGGAAGAAAATGTACCTGTTTTTGGTGGTTTTCAAGAGGCAGTTTTCCCTGTTGATTACATTGTACTCTGCTATGAAATATTCAGAAGATAAATTCACAAATGCTGAACTAAAAATGCACATTTACACTCTGAATTGTGCTTGTGTTTACACAGTGGGGATTTACTGGGGTTATTGGATGAAATCTTGTACTTTACATCTAAACTATGGAGGGTTTGGAGCTCTAAACTGAATTTTGTTGTTTTCTTTGAAAATTACAAAAAATCTTGAATCTTGGAATACATCTGTAAATACTGGAGGTGGGGGAAGTGTCTTGCCCAAGCACACACAGTTTTGACAAGTGGTGGATGAAGTGTTAAATTTTGTTACTTAAGTAAAAGCACAGATACATGGGCAAAAAGTTACTCAAGTAAAAGTGTCACATGAAAAAAGCTACTTGAGTAAAAGTATTAAAGTACCTGTTTAAAAATGTACTTTAAGAGTAAAAAGTAAAAGTATTTTACAGAGATTTTTAGAACAATTAAAGGATGAAATGTAGTGATTTTGATAAAGCATTCAGCTGATTTTAAATGATTGAATTAATTTCTTCATTTTTCTGTCTGTTTTTGTGTGTTTGGTTTGCTCAAAGTTGGAACAGAGACTCAAATTAAATGTGCTAAAAAAAAGTCTCAGACATTTCAAAGTACTTTTACTTTTCAGTCTAGATCTAAAATATAGCGGAATAGAAAGTACAGATACCTGCTCTCAAATGTAGTGAAGCAAAAGTAAAAAGTATCCACTGCAAAATGTACTTAAGTAAAGTACAGATACCTAAAATTTGTTCTTAAGTATTGTACTTTTACTTTTATACTTCGTTACTTTCCACCACTGCTTTTGACAGTGTAGTGAACAAATAGTAGTTGTGCTTCAGCGAGCAAAAACACTGAGGCTGTTTTTGTTCCATGAGGATAAGATAATCGTGAAACATCCGTCTGTTTTGTCTTTGTCTTTTAGGTTCTCCACAAAGTCGTGGTTCTCTCAGACGTGCCAGGTGTGCCACAAGAGCGTCATGTTCGGGGTCAAGTGCAAACACTGCAAGTATGTACAAAACACACAGATAAATATTATGATTTGCCATTCGGTTAACGCCAGATGCCCATCCTGGTGCAGTCTTTTATGTTATTTTTCCACCTTTTTTAAGGTTTTCATAGGATCATGGGCTTAAATAAATCAGTTTAACTAGGTCCTATGTGTGAATACATTGTCACTGACTCACTGTCTGTTTTAAAGTCCTTTGCTTGGCTTTTAACACAGTTTGAGGGTTGACTTTTTGCCTTTATTTGTATTGTATTATATTTATCTGTACCTGTCAATGTCACTGTATTTGTCACTGTTTGTTATCGGTTTAAAAACGGCAGTTGACCAAAGTGCTGTACTCAAAGTGCTCTAGAAATAAAGTTGAGTTGAGTCTTGTTATAGCAGCACGCGAAAAACGCACTAAGGTGCGTTTACCACTCGTTCTTTTGAATTTCAATTTAGAACAAAAAACAATAAAATAGGAAAATGGTTTGTTATTTAATTTTTCTTTTTCATTGTCAAAGAGAAAAACAGATTTCGACCTCTATTTCCAATATTTAATTTAAAGTTTATTTCAAACAACACCAAGCAAAAAACAGTCATCTTGCCTATCTTGATATTTTATTCTCTCTGGTTTGTGCCCTGGACTTTCTGCTGCTAGAAGGACTTCATTGCAATTTTGTGGACAAACATGTCGTCTTCTTTTATAGCGACGCGTTTACTTTCACGTCTTAGAAAGTCATTGTTGAACTCTGTGATGAGAAAGCAGAGAGAATAAAATATCAAAACTGAAATAGGCACAATGACTGTTTTTAATTTGTGTTATTTGAAAAAAACTTTAAATTAAATATTGGAAATCGAGATCAAAATTGTTTTCGTTTGACACTAAATCGGAAAAATGAAATTACAAACTGTTTTCCCATTCTTTTATTCTTTTTTGTTCTTAATTGAAATTAAAAAAAGGACTGACTACATAGACCATAATCCTTTGCTCCATTGCAGTGCAACCATCACTGAGAAATGTCTGATATTATAACCAACACTTTAAATAAAAATAATAGTAATTCTAAAATGGTTTCTTTTTTTTTCTAGGTTAAAGTGCCATAACAGATGCACCAAAGACGCCCCCATGTGTCGCATATCTTTTCTCGCATGTAAGCTTCTTTAATCATTTCATACTTTTTTTTTTTTTTTTCAATTTAAACTTGTATAATTGTGGCCTGGTGGCATCATTTGCTAGTCGCCATGGAGGTAGATTCATTTAATGTCGTACTGTGAAACATTCCAGAAAAGGCCTCCATGGAGACGAGCAGGTGGCAGAGTCTCCATCAGAAATGTCCCGCAGTAGAGCTTTAGTTCGTGCATGTTGATGTTGTTGTTGTGTGTTTCAGTGCCACAGATGCGGAGAGCAGAGTCTGTGCCATCAGACATAAACAATCGAATCGACCGAGCGGTGGAGCTGCCCATTTACTTTGGCACTTTACCCAAAGCTGTCGTCAAAAGGGTGAGTCTGACTTTGAACAGTGTCGCTATGGAGATTCTATTAATTTGCCTGTGTTCCACAATACAGCATTAAACTGCATTTGTTCAATTACAGTGATTGAAATAAAACATAAAAATAAATTACACTCTTATTGCAATAAACCTGGTTCTCCACAGATGTGAATTAAAACATGGTCTTGTGGGGCCACCTAGTGGTCTCCATGGAGATAGACACGTTTAATGCCTTACTGTAGAACATTCCAAGCAAAGCAATGACATCTTCATGGAGGCAAACATTTTCTTTTAGTTTATTACTTAAAGGTGCACAATGCAAAACTTTTCAGTTGGGGGTCCGTCACCTGCTTGTTTCTATGGAGATGTCATTGCTCTGCCTGGAATGTTCCACAGTGTGACATTAAAAACTTGGTCTGGTTTGATCTCCATGAAGATGGAAAGATTTAATGTCATACTGTGAAACATTCCAGACAATAACATCTCCTGGGAGAAAAGGATTTGACAGACCCTCCACCAGAAAATAATACACAATGCACCTTTAATAATTTCCGTGGTGGATTAAGTACTTATTTAAGTAAAAGTACAGATACAAAAGTAAAAAGTTACTCACGTAAAAATACAAGTATCACATGAAAAAATCTGCTTACATAAAAGTATTAAAGTACCTGCTTAAAAATGTTAAGATTAAAAAGTAAAAGTATTTTGCTGAGATTTTAGAACAATTAAAGGATAAAGTGTAGTGATTTTGAAAAAAGAATTGAACAAATTTTAAGCGATTCAACTGATTTCTTAATTTTTCTTGCTGCTTTTGTGTTTTTGTGTATTTCGTTTTCTCAAAATTTGCACATTAATTCAAATTAAATGTGCTAAAAAAATTCAGATTTCAAACCATAAAGAAAAGTACTTTTTACTTTTAGTAGTGGAGTAGAAAATACAGATACATGCTCTCAAATGTAGTGAAGTAAAAGTAAAAAGTATCCACTGTAAAATTCAAACAAGTAAACTACAGATACTTAAAATTTGTACTTAAACCTTGTACTTTTACTTTTGTACTTCATTACCTTCCACCACTGAATAATTAAGAGTTTTGTAATAGTGAAGAAATTTGGAAATGTCTGAAGTTTTTCTTTTTCTTGTTCCAGGAGATGCAGCCGGCCTCGTCTCACTTGGACTCCAGCAGTAACGCGTCTTCCGCCACCTCCTCTGCTCCTTCATCTCCTCACTACCACCAGAACAGCCCCCACAGTGTGAACGCCACCCCGCCCCCCAACGCATCACCAGCACACGCCTCCAGGGACCAGCGCTTCAACTTCCCAGGTCTGTGAATGCAACACGGGACTCACTATCTGCAACGCAAAAAAAAATAAAAATAATATAATGTTAAGGCTGCAAAAACTCATATCTAGTCAAGTTAAAACTTAAGACTTAAATTCAGAACATTTCACTTTATTTGAGAAGATTCAACTTGAGTAAAATGATCTACAAATGCAGTAAGTGTGATTTTCTTCATTCAAACAACATTCAATTTAGTTTCTTATTTTAAGTGCAAGTAAGTCAGTTTTTCAAGCAAGATGTATTTTCATTTATATATTTGTTTTATTTAAGCATACATACATTTTTAACATTTTCAAATGCAGATTATAGGTCCAAAACCTTAATAACAAAACATATTGCAATGACAAGACAGAAGACGTAACAAGATAGTTTGAAGACAAGACAAAAAAGCTGTAAATAAATAAAATAATAATAATGATGGAATAAAAATTAACCATTAGTGACTCTTTGTGTTAAAAGTGTCACATTCTCAAATATAGTGAAGTACAGGTACCTTAAATTTGTTCTTGAGTAATGTACTTTTACTTTTATACTTCTTAATCTTATCCAGCCAAGTTAAAATTACTTAAGAACATTTGACTTTATTGGAGAAGATTGAACTTGAGTAAAATGATCTACCAATGGAACAAGTGTGATTTTATTTATTTATTTTTTAATTCAAGCAACATTCAATTTAGTTTCTTATTTTAAGTGCAAAAAGTTGTGTTCCATTGGTAGATCATTTTACTTGTCGCATTTGATGAACCCTCCATGAGAAAAGTTACACAATGCACCTTTAAACTCTACTCTAACTTGATTAATAGACATAAATTTGATGTATCTTTTTGCTCTATAGATCTCCCTGATTCGGCAGCAGCTCAAAACTCCACCAGCAACAACACAGGGTAAGAGACAGTGTTTAAAAAAGAATTAAAAATAACAAAATAAATTAATTATAAGACGCAAAGACTCCATTTTGTATTTAAAGCTGCAATTTCATTTGGATGTTTTAGAGTGTCTCAGGTGAACGCTACAGAAGCCCAGAAGAATGATGCAGCTCCTGAACAGGTCAGTGTCAGAAACTCCAAAGTGCTGTATTTTCTGGACTATAAGTTGCTACGGAGTATAAGTCGCACCAGCCAAGAAATGCGTAATGAAGAAGAAAAAAAGATATAAGTCGCACTTTTTGGGGAAATGTATTTTATAAAACCAGGAACCGACATTTCATGTTGAAAGGCAAGATCTAGTAATAACAATAGAACAAAGAACAACAGGCTTAATAGGCGTTAATATGTTAATGTCACATATTACCAGTTATTTAGATAATTATAGCATAAACAACAGAACATATCTCACAATCTCACTCCAAATCACTAAATCCATTGAATTCTTCATCCTCGGACTCCATGAAGTAAACGAAAAAGTTTTGTTTGCACCTGTAGATGAATCGTTTTTGGCCTTGAAAAATGCAAACTGTATGTGGTACTTTTCTCTGACCACCAGGGGGAGGCAGAGGAGGACGAGCCTGATGGGGGGGAGTGCTCAGAGGGCGGTCCGGAGCAGGGTGAGGACCTGGGTGAGGACCTGGGTGAGGACCTGGGCGAGGACCTGGGTGAGGACCTGGATGAAGACGGTCTGGACGAGCTGCCCCCGTCCTGCAGGAGGGAGAGGGCGCTTGGATTCCACAGAAAAGCCAGTCAGACCAGTGTCTACCTGCAGGAGTGGAACATCCCCTATGAACAACTGCAGCTGGGAGACCTCATAGGAAAGGTACTGGGACAAACACAGCCGAATGATGGAAATATTACCACTGAAATTCTATGTTTTGTTTGAGAAAAATGAAAACATACTGTGATTTGGAGGTTTAAAGCTCCTTTATTATGCAAAATTGACTCTTGGAGCTTTAAGCCATGTTCTAATGTTACCTCCTTAAAAACAGAGCTGGAATTGTGTTTAGTTTCGTTTACATGTTTGAGTAATTCTTTATTTTTAGTCTGTCTACAGCTCCAAAGGTCAAAACACTCTGTTCCACTTTGTGATGTCATGAAGTAGTAGTTTTCAAGTGAACATCTCCTTTTACCTTTAGTTGTGTAGAGATTTGCAATTTCAGGGCTGAAATGATCCAAATGATTCGAGTGAAGTGTATGAAGTTTAAGAACACAGTGGAGCACTTCCTGTATCACCACATGACATCACAAGGTGGAACAGCATGTTTTCTGTTTAACAGAAGAACTCAGCCTAAATATGCAGGATTTGTGTTAAACATGCAGTGGTGGATGAAGTACATCGGGGCAAAAAATACTCAAGTTAAAGTAAAAGTATCTTATATAAGAATCTACCTAAGTAAAAATATTGAAGTGTAACCATTTAAAAATGTACTTTTAGAGTAAAAAGTAAAAGTATTTCACATAGATTATGAGAACTAAATTGTTAAATGTAGTTATCTATTTTCAATCAATCAATCAAACTTTATTTGTATAGCACTTTTCATACATTTGTGCTTCACAGGCAACAGAAAAATTACAATAATTAAGAAAACAAAAGCAACCCCAGCCCCAGCCCAAGTGTTTCATCCATATACACAGTAGTTTAAACAGAAATATAAAACATAAAGATAAGTAAAAAGACTAAATAAAAAATGGAGAGTTAAATTAGATGGAGACTAAGTAAAATAATAAGGATTTACCGTATTTTCCACACTATAGGGCGCTCTGGATTATAAGGCGCACTGTTATTAAATGGTCTATTTTCGAACTTTTTCACATATAAACCGCACCAGACTATAAGGCTCATTAAAGGAAACACAACAGTGTGATGGGTGAGTGGTTTTGTTTGTTTGTGGTGTTCACGGTGACTCTGGGCTTTGTTCAGTTGTGGCGTGTAGTTAGGGTGTTGTCTGTCGCTGGATTGTCGGCGTGTTCGCAGTGACTCAGTTGTTCAGTTGTGTCTAGAAGTGGCACATTGCACTCGCTTTTTTGGTTCGTTCCTCCGTTCCGTTCCTTGTCGGCGTGGAGTGATGAGTGTGTCTGTGGGTGTTTTTGGCAGCGCAGTTGCAGTCTGCTCCGTGTGTGTTTGTGTGCACTGCAGGTGGTGTGGCTTTGTAGTTTACTAAAGTCATGTTGGGATACCCGAGTGGATTCGTGTACAGGGTGCTCTGGATTGTGGGTCGTTTTTTGGTGGGGTTGGAGGCTTATGACTGTGCCCTATAGTGTGGAAAATAAGGTAATTTAAAACCGAAAAAACTGACTGACACCTCACCATGAGTTTTAGTTTAGACTCTTGGGACAGTTAAAAGACGAGACCTGAGGACCTGAGATTCTGAGAGGCTCATATGACTGTAAGGGTTTAAGTTCTGTAGAATTTCATGTATATATTTTTGTTTGTTCAAAGCCTGGACTTAAACTCAAACCCTTTTTCTGCCATGAATGTGCTAAAACAATCACTCAAATCATGTAAAAAGTATTTTTTACTTTTCAGTCCAGTTCAAAAATGTAGTGGAGTAGAAAGTACAGATACCTGCTCTCAAATGTAGTGAAGTAAAAAGTTAAAAGTGTCCATTGTAAAACTCACTGAAGTAAAGTACAGATACCCAACAATACTACTTTTACTTTTGTACTTTGTTACTTTCCACCACTTTAAACGTGTGTGAATGAAACAAACACAACTCCAGGTCTGTTTGTGATCAGGAAACTTCATTAGAACATAGATCATAAAATAGTGTAACACAGGCTGTTTATTGTGGTACTGTGTAGTTGTACTTCTGTGTATTTGTAGTTGTTCTTACGTGTACTTGTGTGTGTCAGGGCCGCTGGGGGAAGGTCCACAGGGGGCGCTGGCATGGGGAGGTGGCCATCCGTCTGCTGGAGGTGGACGGGAACAATGAGGAGCATCTGAAGCTGTTCAAGAAGGAGGTGATGAACTACAGACAGACCCGTCACGAGAACGTCATTCTGTTTATGGGAGCGTGCATGGCCCCGCCCCATCTCGCCATCATCACCAGGTAAAGGGCTCATTACACATATTTGTGTGTGATGGTAAATATGGATTTTTGGGGAATTTGTAGTGCCAGTCGTCTCTCTCTTCTCTGTCTGTGCCAAATTTTTTTATATGTTTGTAGTCTGAGCAAACATAAATACACAAAAAAATTTTAACTTTAGCTCTTCAGTTCAACACAAATCTTTATCAAAATGACCACATATGAATTTTTTATGTAATGCTTTATTGCTCTTACTTTTTTATTTTTTGCTCTGGTATCTGCACTTTTACGTTAATAAAATCATTAGTTTTTCAAAATAAAATCAAAAGTAAACCGAAAAACAACTATTTTCTGAGAAAATGGATAACGGCCGTTTCCCATTTCCATGACTTAAACTGTGATACCGGACTTTTGTGCCACATATGGATTGAACCAGGACTGAACCAGGACTGAACCAGGACTAAACCAGGACTAAACCAGGACTAAACCAGGACTAAACCAGGACTAAACCAGGACTAAACTTGGACTTGAGAGAGAGGGAGAACCCCAATCCCTTGGAGCAGGGTGTCCACAAAGCGGGTGACGGCTGCTTTAGCCTCGTGGGATGTGGAGCTCTGTGCTGGTCACCCAATGTTCTAGGGGGCACACCTCCAGGCCCGTCCCTCAGTCCTGGTTTAGTCTTGGTTTAGTCCTGGTTTAGTTCTGGTTTAGACCTGGTTTAGACCTGGTTTAGACCTGGTTTAGACCTGGTTTAGTCCTGGTTTAGTCCTGGTTTAGACCTGGTTTAGTCCTTGTTCAGTCCGTATGTGGCGCAAAAGTCTGGCATCACAGTTTAAGTCATGGAAATGGGAAACGGCCATTATCTGTTTTTTCCATTATTCATTTAAACACAAAATCAAAAACTAAAAAAGAGAATCTTTATCCATTTTTTCATTTTGGTTTTGGAGACAAATAATCAAGAAAATTTTAGGTTTTTTTTGTTTTCTTATTTTTGGTTTTATTTTGAAAAATGATACACAGATTATTGTATTATAATTATTGTGTTATTAAAAACCTAACACGTGTGGAAAGACAGACTGTTTATAGTAATAATAACATAGGATAAACAAGTCTTTTTCTTCTTTCTCCAGTTTCTGTCGAGGAGTGACTCTGTACACCGTGGTGAGAGAGCGGGCCTCGCTGCTGGACAACAACAAAACCAGACAGATCGCTCAAGACATCGTCAACGTGAGGGACATTTCTCTGAACGTTTGACAAAACACTTTTAGAACTTCTCAAAAAACAACAACAGAGAACTCCAAATTTATTGTGTTTCTTACCTGTGCTTTCCAGGGGATGAGTTACCTTCACGCTAAAGGCATCGTTCACAAAGACCTCAAATCCAAAAACATCTTCTACGACTCAAACAAAGTGGTGATCACGGACTTCGGACTGTTCGGGATGTCCGGCGTGGTGCAGGAGGGCAGGTAGGATCCATGGTGAAGAAAGAACTAGAGTTTTATTATTTGTTGTCAACACTTTTATAATAACTACATTTTAAAGCCTTAAAGGTACACTGTGTAACTTTTTGGTTGCTTGTTTCTATGGATATGTCATTGGTCTGTCTGGAATGTTCCACAGTGTGACATTAAACAGCTGTACTTTACATTTATTCAATTACAGGTGATTTTAAAGCTCAAAAATCCCTAGAAAAACAGACATTCAGACTGTGAGCGGGTTTGCCTCTCCACAGATCTGACCTGTAGCTTGGCCTGGTTTGGTCTCCATGAAGATTGGTTGGAAAGGCTTAATGCCATACTGTGGAACATTCCAGATAAAGCAATAACATCTCCATTTTGACAGGCAAAAACATTACACAATGCACCTTTAAGAGAGCATGAACTTAGACTTAATTCATAATGAACAAATAGTTTATTAAGAATGATTCAGGCTTACTACTACTTAATTAACACATTAATTAAAGCTACAATATGCAACTTTTTAGCCAAAAATAGAAAAAAAGTACTAAAATAAAAGCATGGTAACACTTCATAATAACTACACCTTATTTAGCCTTAATAAAGCAGGAACATAGGCTTAATTAATAATGAACAAAGACTTATTTAATAATGATTCACGCTTAGTAACTACTTAATTACTACCTTAATTAGCACTTGCACTTAATTTGCCTGTGCTGTAAATAGTTACTCATAATTATTTCATACTTAATTACTCATGAACTAACCATTTGAGCATTTATTAATGATTAGTAAACTATGAGAGAATGATTTACTAATAATGTAATGCAATGATCATTCAGGCAGCTGTTATCTGTTAGTTAAGTCTTTTTGAGAGCTTTTCTAAAGTGAAGACAAATTATGCTTTATTAAGCATTTACTAAGCGTCAATTATTTATGAATTAAATCTTTGTTCATTATTAATTAAGTCTTTGTTCACGCTTTATTAAGGCTAAGTAAGGTGTAGTTATTATAAAGTGTTACCAAAAGCATCTTTTTGTCATTTTTTTATTGCACTGGAAACATGTGTCCTACTTGTTATGGAAATATTGTTCCTTAGGTCAGAATATTGTATATGTGTTTATTAAAGAAACTGTACATATTAAAAGACAAGATAGTGTAAGGGACAAACATGGACTTGTAAATATGCAGGTTTGTAGCCAAAGTTCATTTCTTTCCTTCCTTCCTGGACCAAGACCATAAAACCCACACTCTTCATCAAACACGACAAAAGCTACAGCACCTGCACCCACATGCAGCTCTCACTCACACACTATGAAACACTCTCTTATTAGACATTAGTATTCAAATGTACATGCCAGACTTATACTCTCATTACTTTCACATGCACAGTATTAACATCTATTTACAAATTATATGCAAATGTGAATGCAGTCCCCGGCTCATATGCAAAATGGCATAGTCATGATTTAAATTGAGCAGAGAAGAAGCTGAATGTAGCGGCTCATGTACAGTCACTGGGACGGTGTTCCAGGTTTGAGAGGCATGGAAAAAGAACACAGTGACAGTCTTCCTTGATGGTTTTATACAATCACCTCTGGAGCTGCTCTTACTGATCTGTTCTGATTTTATTGGTTATATATTCTCCATGTAGAATATTCCAAAGTGTGGCATTAAACTGATCTATCACCATGGAGAATGTTCGGGAGTATGGTTTGAACTACAGTTTGAATCTATGTAACGATATCAAAATCCTTCGATACGATATTTTCACTTATGCATCTCACAGTTCGATATTTATTGCAATATTTTGTAGAGGCTTACAAAATTCTGAATATGCCCAGGTTTCCTTTTAAAAGCCTTGTAAAACCTTTGGTACTGTTATATGAAGAATTAATATTTAAAAGTGCTTAATAAGTCTGTATTGACAACACCAAAGGATCATGGTCTATGTAGTTCCCTCTATCGCTGCACCAAGGCAAGTTTATTTGTATAACACAGATCATACACAAAGTAATTCAAAGAGTTTTACAGAATAAGAAAGACATTAAAATATGTCAAATATAATATTATTGTGAGACTTTTGACGATGCGATATCACGATATTTCGGCTATTGTTACATCCCTATTTCTATGTCTGTGGAATCATACAGGTGACGTGTCATCTCCAGAAATGTCCCACACTGTGCCTTTAAGTAGTTAGGGCTGAATCCTTCATAATAAACTCTGCTTGATCATTCTTCCTGACTTGCATCCTTCACGTGTGTGTTTGCAGGAGGAGCAGTGTGCTGCGGATCCCTCGGGGCTGGCTGTTTTATTTGGCGTCTGAAATCGTGAGGAAGATGAGTCCAGAGGAGGACGAAGACCAGCTGCCATTTTCTAAACCTGCAGATGTTTACGCTTTTGGGTAAAAACAAAGTTATTGTCTGATACAGTAGGTTTCAAAAGTCGGACACTGTTCACAGTGCTCATTGTAAACAACTTCAGAAGTATTCACATGTGAGAGAAGAGTGAAATATGAAGTGATAAATGAATACAAGAATACCATGCATTTCAGAACATCATTATATTCTCTCAAAAATTGTGATTTGATTTTGATGAGATTAATTGTGCAGCCCTACCGCAAGTTTCATAATAATTTCTTTCCCCTTCTCTCTCCTTCTCCCTCTTCTTCTCTCCCTCTGTGTTTTTGTTGTCAGTACGATCTGGTATGAGCTCCACACTGGCATCTGGCCCCTGGAGCAGCATCCTGTTGAAGCCCGGCTTTGGCTCTTCGGTTCTGGGGAGGGCATCCGCAGAGAGCTGGGGAAAGCGCATCTGGGGAAGGAGGTCACGGTGAGACAGACATGTGGAACACTGTAGAATGTTCCACAGTATGGCATTAAATGGATCTAGCCTGCTTTGATTCACTAACCGGCGTTTCTATTGCTCAAATATACCTTTAAAAACAGGTATTCTTCCAGGCTTGCCTCTCCACAGATCAGACCTGTAACTGGTTAGAGCACTCATTCACTTACCCGAAGGTGTAGTTGGCTCCTTCCATCAGGTAGATATAAGGCAGTGTCCACCAGCGTCTGACCAGAACTAAAGAAGCAGCTTGGATGAACAGAGAAATGTATTTAATCAAACAGAACAGAACTGAATTTCTCCTTTGCTATAATTATTAATGCCATAATGTGGAGTATTCTAGATCAAGGTTTACCAACCTTTGTAGATCAAAGGGCTCCTTCAAGAACATTACGTTCTTCAAGGGCTTAAAAAAAAACAATGAAATGCCTCCAATGTATGTTTTTAAATGAATGGTTGGGAAAGAACATGACCTGATCTGTCCACGAAGACTGTGGACAAACCACTGTGGCTGCAGTTAGAAGTTCACCAAAATCTGACTCATCTCTGATTTGTGGACTTTTAGAATCACTTAAAGGCCATGTACCTGCACAGTTTAATGTGAGTCATCAGAGGGACAACGATCTGAATGAGTTCAGATGAGTTTTGCTCTTTACTTTGCATTTGAATAAACTTTTATCTTAAACAAATCTGATAATAACTTTCGATGTTTATATGAGGACTGAACTGGACCAAACCAAGACCAAAACACTTGTGAACACGCTCTAAACTTCAACATAAAAACTCCCTGCTCTATTGTGTAAATACTTTTCTTATATTTGACCTTACCGTCTGCCCCTGTGCCTTTCTGTAGGAGATCCTGTCTGCCTGCTGGTCCTTTCACTCCGAGGAGCGTCCCTCTTTCACTCAGCTCAGTGACATGCTGGAAAAACTGCCCAAACTCAACCGCCGCCTCTCTCACCCCGGACACTTCTGGAAGGCTCAAGAGTACGTATCATAGACTTACATGGGGCTTTTTTCATTAAAACACCATGTAACGTGTACACGAACACTGCCCCCTGTGGGAGAGGGATGTGACTACAACCCATAGACTCAGCAAAGAGCAGATGATGATTTTCAACAAGGGAAGACATAAAAGCTGTAAGATTTCTGTAAATAAATGTGAATTCTATGAACCTGCTGAGAAAACGCCTTTTTAATGTGAGATTTTGAATACAATTAAAGCTCTTATATTATGCAAAATAGACTCACGTGAGCTTTTACCCAAATTAGAACACACAGACCTAGAGTGTGTTTTGTTTCATTCACACATGTTTGAGTAACTTCATTATTAGTCTACATCTCCAAATCTCAAAATGCTCTCTTCCACCTTGTGATGTCATGTAATAATAATAAAAATCTTGATTTAAAGCACTTTTAAAAATAAGGAACAATACAGAAAGCATAAAAATAGCACACAGAAGGCATACAAAAACAGACAGTGGTCCAAATAATCCAATTAATTATAATAAAAAGAAAAAAAAATGAATAGAAATAAAATAAATAAGTAATAAAATCAAGTTAAAACCAGTTAAAGGAAGGCCAACAGATAAAAATGAGTCTTAAGAAGTCATTTAAGATGATAGTGATGGTGCGAGTCTTATCTCCTCAGGCACTTGGTAACTTGTCGCAAGACCTAAACGAGCTTGAAAAGTGATCAGTAAAATCTTCAAATCATTTCTAAAACACACAGGCAGTGAAGGGAAGTAAAACAGGGTCATGTGTTGATGTTAAACCCAGTGAGGAGCCGGAGTTCAGTTTCTGAACCAGTCGGAGGTGGAACGAGCTGCAATAGTCTAGATCAGTGTGTCCCAAACTTTTTTTCTGAGGACCCATATTTTAAAAGTCACAAAACTTTGCGACCCAAGTAAATTTGTATTTATTTTTTTATTTATTTATGTTTATTAAGGACATCACAGTCGCATTAGACAAGCCAGATGCGTTGCTTTGAGTGCGAGTTTTCAACACCTGTCCATATAAAAATATAAACTACACGCATAAAAACAGACAATACAAGACACATAAGTTACATACAGATAAAATATATACAGTACATTTTCAATTGATGCATTATTATTATTGAAACATACAATAATTTAAATTTAAATTTGGTGTTACTGGTTTCCAATTTTAAATCAGCTGGTAAACCGTTCCACAGTCTGGCCCCTTTAGGAGAGAAAGAGTCGTCCTGTACATAGGAACAATGCAGTTACTACTAGTAGCTCCTCTTGTGTTCGCTCTGTGTGAACATTTTATGGTCCTGGTAAGTTCTGAATACAATGGTGTATTGCAGTTAAGACACTTTTTTTTTAAGAATTTAAGATTATTAAAAATTTCAAAGTTAAAAAGTTTATGTTTTCTACTTTCTTTTGCAAATAAAGTAGGATTTGATCATTATTGAACATTAATGAGGATATTTTATTGCCAGTGTTGAGAAGGTGACTTTTAAAATGTATTCCCCTACAGATTACAGATTACATATTCCAAAATTTAGTTTGTAACAGAATCCATTAAGTTATTTAAAGTGAGTAACGTAATCTGAATCTTTGGATTACTTCATTTGCTGTAGAGAAGAAAAGACCAGGATATCGTAAGATAAGATGTTTTGTCTGCTAAAAGAAAATAAAAAGCCCAGACTTTACTCAACCATATTAAAAATATTATTGATAGAAGACGAGGAGACACGTCCACGCAGCATGATTTAGTCCTGTTAAATCCTGTTAAATCCTGGTTTAGATCTAGTTTAGATCCTTTTAGATCTAGTTTAGACCTGGTTTAGATCTAGTTTAGATCTAGTTTAGATCTAGTTTAGACCTGGTTTAGATCTAGTTTAGATCTAGTCTAGACCTGGTTTTAGTCCTGGTTTAGTCCTGGTTTAGACCTGGTTTTAGACCTGTTTTAGATCTAGTTTAGAACTAGTTTAGACCTGGTCTTAGTCCTGGTTTAGTCTTGGTTTAGCTCTAGTTTAGACCTGGTTTAGACCTGGTTTAGACCTGGTTTAGACCTGGTTTTAGTCCTGGTTTAGAACTGGTTTAGATCTAGTTTAGTTTCCGGCAATGAGTGGAATTACTGAAAAAAAAAAGGGTGGGGGGGGATATAGCCCAAAATGTGAAAACAGGAAAACAGGAAAATACCGCCATGTAATCCATTTATTTCAACAAAGTAACTGTAATCCAGTTACCACTCACTGAAACTGTAACTGTAACTGAATACAGTTACTCATAATTGATACTCTGATTACGTAACTCCAGTACATGTAATCTGTTACTCCCCAACACCGTTTATTGTTGACTGAGTGATCGTGTCTCTGAACAATTAGTTTTACTCAAGTTTTAAACAATGAAAAACAGTCACTGAAGCAGCAATAAAAGGATCCACAAGTCGCCTATTTGGACTTTAAGTGTTTCTTCATTTCTTCTTCTTTTCAACATTCAATTGACCTACATGCAGATCGTGACAAGGCGACCCAAAAAAATCTCTTGCGCTCCAGTCTTTGGGAAACAGTGGTCCAGACGGGAGAAGATGAGCGCGTGGGTGACTTTTTCGAGCTCAGGGCAGGAGAGGATAGTTTTGATTTTTGTGCGGCGGTGGACAAAACAGGATTGGGTGACATAGTAGTGGTAGTTTTCAAGTGAACAGCTCCTTTTACTTTTAGTTCAGAAGAGATCGGCAATTCCAGGTCTGATATTTTCCAAATGTTTCTAATGAAAGTGTATTTTGTTTGCTGTTTGAGAGAAGAACTCAGCCTGAATGTGCAGGGTTTGTGTGTTAAAGATGTGTGAATGAAACGAAACACAACTCCAGATGTGTTTGTGATGAGGAAACAACATTATATAGATCAGAAAATGGCGTAACATGGGCCCTTTAAGTCTTCACCATAGCATTATAAGCCTGGCTATAATCGGCTGTCTGGGTTTTCCCTCAGTATCGGTACTGATATCGAAAGCATTACATCGCGAATTTCTAGAGAAAATGTGCTGGCTCATTTAGTACATTAGCACAATGGGATTAAATCACTGTATCCGGTTTGTATTGTGTTCAATGTTCATAGTTAATTTGAAGCAGTTTGCAGTGTCTAATTTCTTCCTCATTTACCTTCTGCATTCTGCGTATCCCAATTACCTATTATCTAATTACCTTCTGCATTTTGAGCGTCCTAATGACTCACTTAACTTTCAGAGGCAAGATCTGAGTTTTGTTGTCACGGTAAGGCAACAAATAGGATGCTAACAGCGGTCTAACTTCCACCCTAAGAGCTGCTTATACAATACTGTATTTTCTGCACTATTAGGCATGCTGGATTATAAGGCGCACTGTCATTGAATGGTCTATTTTCAAACTTTTTTCACATATAAACCACACTGGACTATAAGGCGTATTAAACGAAACACAACAGTTAGATAAGTCAGTCAAACTTAATTTAAAGCGTTCACAATAACTCAACTTTGTTCAGTTGTAGAGCGTAAAAAAAATCCTGTCTGAGAGTATTCACAATAAGCCCACATCCCTCTCGTCATTATCTGAGTCAGTGTGGTTACTGTTGCCTGGCAGTTCAGTGATGATTCTGGTCTTGGTGAAAGCTCCGACCACAGTTCATCAATCAATCAAACAAACTTTATTTGTATAGCATTTTTCATACAAATAAAAGTGCTATACAAAACTTTATTTGTATAGCACTTTTCATACATTAGAAATGTAGCACAAAGTGCTTCACATGCAGCTGAAAAAATGTCAATATATTAATTAACCCCCCCCCATATATACAACAATTTAAACAGAAACATAAAACATAAACATAAAGCTCTTAAAAGTTTTAGTAAAAATGAAAATGGAGAGCTAAGGTCAGATGGAGACTAAGTAAAATAGTAATGATAATTTAATTTAAAACAACTATAATTATAAAAATAATAATGATTAAAACAGGTAAAAGTTTAAATTAAAAGCTAATTTAAAAAGATATGTTTTGAGTTTACTTTTAAAAATATGAACACTCACATCGGACCTTCAGATCCTCAGGTCGACTGTTCCACAAACGGGGGCTGTAAAAGCTGAATGACGCCTCACCGTGAGTTTTAGTTTTGAACTCTTGGGACAGTTAAAAGACGACTACCTGAGGATCTGAGAGTTTGAGAGGCTCATATGATAAAAGGAGATCAGATAAATAAAGGACTAAGACCATTAAGAGCTTTATAAACCAATAAAAGAACTTTAAAATCTCTCCTGAAGCTCACAGGAGCCAGTTGATACTGATCCTTAGCCCAGGCGTCCACGATCCGTTGGCAGATCGTGGTGTAAGTCGTTCGACGCTGTCTCTCTGTCTTGATGAATGTGTGTGGTTCTTCTCTCGTCCACTGCTCCCACGCAGCTCACACTTTCACTTTATAACAGCCTTGAGTTTAAAGTGTGCGTAGTGAGTGTGTCTCTTGACAGGTGCATTTTGATATTAAAAGGAATCACAGTCTGTATAACTCCTGATGCTCCTGACTACGGGAGCCGCAATGCTGCAAGTGGAGCGGCTTTGTAGTTTACTAAAGTCGTACTAAGACACCACAATAAAATCAGATATAAGGCGTTCTGGATTATAAGGCGCACAGTCATTTTTGGATGAAATTAAAGACTTTTAAGTGTGTCCTATAGTGCAGAAAATACGGTGTCTGTACTGGGGTAAAAAAGCTCAAACACACAGACAAAATCAAATGCAGCTACTTTAAAACCTTGATCTTAATTTTAAAGGGTGCATATTACTCTATTTTCTGATCTTTGTTATAATGTTTCCTCATCACAGACAGATCTGGAGTTGTGTTTTGTTTCTTTCACACATGTTTAACGCACAAACCCTGTAGATTTATGCTGAGTTCTTCTTCCAAAATGAAAATCCCCTGTACCACTTTGTGATGTCATACAGAAAGTGCTCCACTGTGTTATAAAACACCAAAAGATCTCCTAAACTCCTACATCATTTGGATAATTTCAGCTTTGGAATTGCCGATATCTACTGAAAACTAGCGCTTCATGGAGCAGTGGAGCATCAATGATTGTTAATCATTTTATTAGTCATTAATCAGTTAATCCTAAGTGACGTCTATTAGTTTGTGTTCTATTCGTCCTGCTGCCGTCTTTGAGCAGACAAAATATCTCATGTTCAGATCCTCCTCTTTGTTTCTCTACAACAAACAAAACTCTGTTCACTGAGACTTGGGCTCAGACAATTTGAAGAGAACAAACAGGATGTGGTTGGTACATTCATGTAGTTTTAAAAAGCATGAGTACAGTATCAAGTAATCCAAAGTATTCAGTTTACATTACTCACTTTCTTTTTATGATTTAATGGATTACATTACAAACTACGTTTTGGAGTCTGTAATCTGTAGGGGAATACATTTTAAAAGTCACCTTCCCAACACTGGTCAGAACTCATTTATTGTAGGATGCATTGCTTGTAAAATTGCCAAAAAATAATTCAGAACATTCTAACAAGACAAACTAACACACATATTCCAAATGAGACTTTTATTCATGTTACATTATTTCACGTTGTTTTTTTAACTCCCTCCATTTAACATTTGCACTACAGCCCGGGTGAGTATACAAAAAAATAAAGTAATGAAATTTAAAACCTTTGTGAAAAAAAAAAAGACTTGGACAACATAATGGAAGACTTTTTAAGGCCTTAATTTAAAGTACATGACATGTAAGACATTTTTAAAGACTTTTAAGACCCCGTGGCTGCCTTGAATAAGAAAAACAACAAGTTTTGCACTTAAAATAAGAAACAAAATCTAATGTTGCTTGAATGAAGAAAAACACATTTATTCCACTGGTAGATTATTTTACTTGTCAAGTTAAATCGACTCAAATAAAGTCAAATGTTCTTAATTTAAATCATTTTCATTTAGCTGGGTATAGTTTTTTTTCCAGTGCAGGTTTGTTTATGAAGAGGTAACAACATCAGAACACGACTAGAAGCTCACAAGAATCTGTTTTGTGTAATATGGGACTTTTTAAGATTGAGTTTTTCATATATTTTCTCTTAAATCTTTCTCTCTTGTCTCTGTTTTGGGCCTGTCCTGGCGTTACCTCTGCCTCCTATCTGTCCTTGGACTTGTGTTTCCTGGTGCACTTCCTGCTTCCCTTCCTGGTTTTGTGCGGTCTAAAGGCTGTGGGATCATCGAGCGTGCTGCCAGGGCTTTCTCTCAAACTGTCCCTTCATCTTCAAATACAGCTGAGAGCCAACCGTGGGTTTCCGTGTTAGAACGTCGCGTCCCGTCTCGTAGCAGCACACGGGTTTCAGAAATGATAAAAAATGTGGACCGTTGCCATAGAGATGAACTATTTAACTCTTTCTCCCTTGGACGCCTAATAGGAACAACCCTTACATATATTTCTAGGGCGACCCATAGAGCGTAACTGCATAAAAGAAAACAGACTTCCACGAGTGATTAGAAATGATTTTCACACTTATGAACTTAATTGAAACACAGACATATTTGGTATTTCTGGAAACCTTAGACTCTGAACTCTTCATTTCTGGATGTTTAAATGTGATTCAACTCATTTACAGGTTTATAACAGCTCACTGAAAATGAGAGTTTACCTGCTCAGGTGCAAAATCGAAAACAAAAAAACTACATTCAGCATCTGATATATGCATGTTCTGAGTACTATATTCATTAAAAAATGTAAAAAAATGTATTTGTCAACATATTTAAACAGATTTCATATCACGAGATACAGTAGAGCCAAGTGTACACCTGTTTGTACCTGTTGTTCACCTGTGTGCACCTAATTCGTTTTTTTTCCATTTAACTTATTCAACTCATTTAGCTTATTCAACTTATTTAACTTATTCAACTCAACACTTTTGAAATCTATAAAAGTCACTTTCTCTAAACTTATCCATAAAATATGTCCGCTGCTCATTATTTTAAAAAAACTGTGCCGCAGCGCCGCAATCTCTCCATTACATGTGTGTCGTGTTGTGTTTTTTCCGGAAGCTACAATCACCACTACTTCGATTAACTTTGGAAAAAATCGGCGAAAACATATCCTTGAATCCTCTTGGTCAGTCTTGTATGGGTTGTAGTGGCCCCCACCTATCACAGCCTCTGTTTACATGTGAAAAACCGAGCCTTTACTAATGTCGTCAAATCACATCTTTAGTGAAACAGCGGAGGAGTCAAAACACGTCATTAAGGAAACAAGGAGGGTCGTCAAATGTCGTCTTCATGGGGGAAAGAGTTATAATGAAATATTATTGTATCTTTGAAATAGGAAAAGTGCTAAAAATGTTGCATATGACAGGAAGCCGATCGGAATAGGCTCCGTGCACACTGTTAGCGTCACTACTTCCTGTCCAATTGTGTGTCTGTGCTTTGATTATTATTATATTTGATGAGTCATGCTGAAATTGAATGCACATTTTAAGAAGGCAAAAAAAACAAGCAAAAAAACTACAAAAAAATAAATAAATACTTCACTGGAGAATGCTAATTTTCAGACATTATAAATATTAAAACCAGAGTGACCAGATTTTCAAAGTTCTAAATTGAAGCACTCGCGGGTTGGGAGGTTTGGTATAAATAAAATAGTGACAAGAGTGTGGAACCTTGGATTCGTGTCAGTCATGATCTGAGGAGCTTCTGAAACGGAATATTTTTTGTTTTATGGTGATTCACAAACACGGATTTTAGTTTTTTGCCAAACAAATGACAATTTCTGCTCCTCTTTACTGTTGGTGGGGATCAGGTTAGTCAAAAATTGTGATAGTCCTGGTTTTGACCTGATTTAGTCCTGGTTTAGTCTTGTTTTAGTCCTGACATAGTCCTGGTTGAGTCTTAGTTTAGTCATGGCTTAGTCCTGGTTTAGACTTGATTTTGTCCTGGTTTAGACCTGATATAGTCCTGGTTTAGACCTGATTAGACCTGATATAGTCCTGGTTTAGATCAGATTGGTCAAACATAGAGACACGTGGGACATTTCTTGTGTAAAATTGGGACAAATCAGTGGTTTCGTATAAATCTGCTGGGACAGGAGACACACACAGGAAAAAAAACAACTATATCTAGTTAAATGAAAATGACTTAAATTATTAGTTAATTTGACTTGAGTTGATTCAACTTGACAAGTCAAATGATCTACCAATGGAGTCAGTGTGTTTTTCTTAATTTAAGCAATTTTTGTTTTGATTTTGTTTATTTTAACTGTAACAAGATGTATTTTCATATTTTAAGTACAAAAAGTCTTGTTCCATTGACAGATCATTTAACTTGTCAAGTGAAATTTACTCAAATCCTGATGAAACTTTCTTAATTCAAGTCATCTTAACTTGACTAGATTTAGTTTTTTTGCAGTGCAGGGCTCAAAACTGGGACCGTCACGGGTAAACAGGCACGATGTCTAGTCACCCTGATTAAAACCCCTCACGCTCTGATCAATCTTTCTTCAGTGAAGCTAATTTATTTTAGTATATTGAGCATAATTTGGGAGGGTTTTAACTTTCATATGAGACATTTCTAAAACCAATCAATTAATTTAAAGTCGGGTTATAAGCTTTTGTTTCTACAAAATGGATAAGCGACAAGACTTTTGTCAGGGACTGTAGAATGAAGCGTCTCAGAACTGGTACGTAGATAATAAATCTGAAAACAAGTTTGAAGAACCTGATGCACGTTTTAAAATCTTGGCCGGATCAGAGAAATGTGCCGTGTAGCTGTGCACAGAGCCAATTCTCAGGTAGAATTTGCGGTGTAGCTGTCAGTTTGCAGATTGGTTAAACTGGTTTTTGGTTTATATGTTTGTCCTGGAAGTATCCACGAAACAAAAACTGACACAAAATGGATTTAAAACACATACTGCACATTTTCAGGAGCCTGTGATCAGTTCGAGGGGTCATGGTTTTGTTTAAGAGTTCGAGACTCTCAACACTAAAAATATGTTTTCTTCTTAAACTGAAAGTAATTCTTGTGTGTATTACTTTTGCCTGGCTTCTCTTTTCTCTTTTTCGCTTCCTCTCTGTGGTCACGCTGACAGGAATCAGTGTCTTCAATTGTGCAAATAAGAATTTAAAAAGGTACTTTGTCATTCTTCTGTACAAACTAATAACGAACTGATCGTTTTGAAATGTGACGGCTTCAGATGTATTATATTTTTGTACAGAAAGTGGTTTTAATAAGAATAAAATAAAACTATGACATGAGGACTTTTTTTGTTTTGTGATCATTTTCATCTTATGTCTTTTATTGCTTTTCTCCATAACTCACCATTTACTCTTAACAAATGCAAAAAGTTGGTGGTTAAATCCCAGTTCTTACCATAATATATAATTTTGTTGTATCCTTGAGCAAGACACCCTTTAAAATGGATAGTTATGAGTGATTAGTTGGTTGATGATAAAGGAGAAGACAGTGGAGCAGATTAGCAGCCACTCCAGATCACATTATTATTAAAAGGTACAGTAAGGTAAAGTTGACTTTGAGTTTTATTAGTTTGTCTACATCTCCAAAGCTCAAAATGCTCTGTTCCACCTTGTGATGTCATGAAGTAGTAGTTTTCAAGTGAACAGCTCCTTTTGTCTTTAGTTCAGTAGAAATGTGTAATTCCAGGGCTGAATTCTAGTGAAGCTGTATGGAGTTTGTTTGTTCTGTTATCACCACATGACATCACAAGGTGGAAGAGAGTGTTTTCTGTTTTGAGAGAAGAACTCAGCCTAAATGTGCAGGTTTTGTGTGTTAAACATGTGAATGAAACAAACACAACTCCAGGTCTGTTTGTGATGAGGAAACTACATTACAGTATAACAGAAGTAAGGAAGTAAGTCTTTCTTTCTTTATATAGCACTTTTCACAGACTTTATTCAGCATTACTCTTTCACTACACTCTTTACCTGGTGATGGTAAACTACTCTTGTAGCCACAGCTGCCCTGGGGCATACTGACAGAAGTGCGGCTGCCAATCTGCGCCATCAGTCCCTCCGACCACCACCATCACTCACACACACACACAACACACACCACTTTCCTACTAGACAATGTGGGTGAAGTGTCTTGCCTAAGGACACAATGACAGTTACTGCCACTGGCGCCCCCCTGTGGCTCCTGATTTTCCCAGTGTCTCCCATCCAAGTACTGACCAGGTCCAGACCTGCTGAACTTCTGAGATCTGACGGGATCAGACTTTGACAAGCCGCTATGGCCACAAAAATCATAGTGTAATATTTTTATGTCCCTGCCTCATACCTTTCCAGTTTTTCACTTTACTCTTTTGTGCGTACTTCATTGCAAACAAGGGGAGTCAGCGTTTCAGGTTCATGCAGCTAAAACCTGGAACAGTCTGAACATGTGAGACAGACTCTTCTGTGACGCTGTTTAAATCCAGACTCAAAACATTTCTGTTTAACTGTGCATAAAACTGAAAGGTTTTCATTCCGCACTCTTCTCTCCAATTTATGTCTCTCTTTTTTAATTTTAATCTTCATGATTATTTATGTTTTGATTTGTTTTTATTATGATTTTAATGTATTTCTTATTCTGTAAAGCACTTTGAATTACTTTGTGTACGAATTGTGCTATACAAATAAACTTGCCTTGCCTTGCCTTGCCATTGACTCTGTGGTCGTGAAAGTAAAACTGCTTGACAATGTCATGTTTTAACTGAAAGTCAAATCCGATTACTTTACATCCTCTTTGTTAATGCCAGTGTGAAATGAGGGAAATCAGAAGAAATCTCACGTCACTTCCTGTTTCACATAAATTCATCCAGAATATTCACTCACTGCACTGGAATTTGCAGTACAATTACATATTTACAGTTTATTGAATTCACAATTACTATTACCTAATACAAGCACTACTAATGCTGCCATTACCAGTGTACACAGACACAAGGGGCAAGGTAGGTTAAGTGTCTTGCCCAAGGACCCTGGCAGCATTCATCTGTGGGAGCTGGAATCACACCACCAACCTGTGGGTCAGTGCATTCGACCTCTCACCAGTAATGCTTTATGTCAAGAGCAGGATTCAAACCACCAACCTTCAGATCAGTGGACAAATGTAGCACTACTACTACTACTACAACTACTTCTACTACTACTACTACTACCACTACTACTTATATTTCTTTATAATATAGTAGAGTATTTCCAGTGCATTTTAATACAAAAAACTACAAGTATTTGTATTTTTATCAGATCATTTTATTATATTTATTATTTTATATCATCAATATTCTGTCACTTCAAAAACATAAAAACAGGCGTCCTTTCTGTGGGCGAGCTTGCCTCTCCACAAACCTGACTCTTATTTCCTGCCTGCCTCCTCTTCTGTTTGTTTCCACAGAAATGTTGTTGTTTTGACTTTAATATTCCACAGTATGATATAAAACGTATCTGTCTTTATAGAAGGTGTTCTGAAGTTTCTATTTCTGTGGTATTCCGTTTCCACAAATTTGCGTAGTTTAATTTACATAACATTTGTGCAGTAAAATCATGCAGACTTTAGATTCTGAGCTGAGGAAGTGGCAGCAGCTCACAGAAGCTTTATTATGCCTATTGAATCAGTTGTTATTTTTGCTACTTATTTGAATGGATTATGACATTTATATTTATGTTCTGTGTTATTATATTTTCTTGTGATGTGTGAACTCCTGTGTCAAGATCATTTCCCTTGTGAATCAATAAAGTTTGTATCATAAAGTGTACAATGAGGTGAAACTCGTGACCGCTCTTTGTGCTGATTTCATAAGCACATGTCTTTATCTGTCGTGATTGACCTCTGACCCATCACGCCCACACTCCCCCAGAGTCATGTGATCTGACACTCGTCAACTTTAGCCTGAATCTACAGAGGAAGTGCACCAACAGTCACGGCTGTAAAACACTGTAAAAGTGGAGGCATCCAAAGTAACACAGTAGACTTACTTCTGGACATGTACTACTACTACTATTACTACTTCTACTACTACTACTACTACTTCTTTTAAAAGGAGCTTTGTTCTGGCTGCTATCGTACTTAAGAGTAAATTGTAATCTATTTATCTATGTGTGTTTTTAACATATTTAATATTCAGTGTTGGGGAGTAACAGATTACATGTACCAGAGTTATGTAATCAGAGTACAAATTATGAGTAACTGTATTCAGTTACAGTTACTGTTTAAGTGAGTGGTAATTGGATTACAGTTACAGAGGTATTTGCCTGTTTTCACAATTTGGGCTATAACCCTTTTTTTTTTTTTAGGTAATTCCATTCATTGCCAGACACTAAATCAGGTCTAAACCAGGACTAAACCAGGACTAAAACCAGGTCTAAACCAGGACTAAAACCAGGACTAAAACCAGGACTAAACCAGGACTAAACCAGGACTAAACCAGGACTAAAACCAGGTCTAAACCAGGACTAAAACCAGGACTAAACCAGGACTAAAACCAGGACTAAAACCAGGTCTAAACCAGGACTAAAACCAGGACTAAAACCAGGACTAAAACCAGGACTAAACCAGGACTAAAACCAGGAAACCAGGACTAAACCAGGTCTAAACCCAGGACTAAAACCAGGTCTAAACCAGGACTAAAACCAGGACTAAACCAGGACTAAAACCAGGACTAAACCAGGACTAAACCAGGACTAAAACCAGGACTAAAACCAGGTCTAAACCAGGACTAAAAACAAAGGACTAAACCAGGACTAAAACCAGGTCTAAACCAGGACTAAAACCAGGACTAAACCAGGACTAAAACCAGGACTAAACCAGGACTAAACAGGACTAAACCAGGACTAAAACCAGGAAACCAGGTAAACAGGACTAAACAGGATAAACCAGGTCTAACCAGGACTAAAACCAGGACTAAACCAGGACTAAAACCAGGTCTAAACCAGGACTAAACCAGGACTAAACCAGGACTAAAACCAGGACTAA